AATTACTACAGAAAACACTAGGGAGTTTTCTCAAGATAATTGTAAAGTAGAAATAGTATAAGACACAGGAACCTCTACATATGTATTTTAAAAAATTGAAATTAGATGAGATTGTGTGTTTTCCATAAAAGAAATGCAAATCAAAACAACATTGAGATTCCACCTCACCCCAGTTAGAAAGGCTGTATTCAAGAAATCTAATAACAACAGATGCTGGAGGGGATATGGCCAAAAGGAAACTCTACTACACAGTTGGTGGGAGTGTAAACTTGTTCAATCACTCTGGAAAGCAGTATGGAGCTTCCTCAAAAGACTACACATAGAACTCCCCTATGACCCAGAAATCCTACTTCTGGGCATTTACCCAATTGAACACAAACAAGGCCATACTAAAGCTACCAGCACAACTATGTTTATTGCAGTGTTGTTCACCATAGATAAGCTATGGAACCAATCCAGTTGCCCCTCAGTAGACTAATGGATCAAGAAAAGGTTTTATATATATTTATATGTATGTATGTATGTATGTATACATATATATATACATACATACATATGTATATATATATATATATATATATATACATAATGGAATTTTATGCTTCCATCAGAAAGAATGGCACTGCCCCATTTGTAAGGAAATGGAAAGACTTGGAAAAAATCATATTAAGTGAAGTAAGCCACACCCAAAGAAACACAGGTCCTATGGTTTCTCTTATTTGTAATAATTAGTATATGTCTAGGATAATCATTGCAGATGAGCAGCAAAGCTCAATAGCTATGCACATACGATCATATAAGATGTTGATAAGCAAAATGAACTCCAAGACATGGATATGAGAGGTTTTTCTTTGTTATTTTTGTCTTTAATGTACTATGTGATTTTTTGTTTCTTTTGTATGTTCCCCGCCCCCCCCCCATGGTATATCCCCTGTTGTCACTGTATTTGATTTTGGTACCCTGGTATAGTATATATGTTTGTTTGAATTAGGGAAGGGAAGGGAAACAACAGAATGGTGAGACAAAAGACAAGTGGGGAACCAATGTAGCAGCGATATTCACAATAAAATATGTTGGAAATGATCTGTACAACTTGGGGGGTGGAGGTGGGGGAGGGAAAGTAGGATAAAATGAGGGAAGGGCTAATACATTGACAAGAAATGGACTTATTACTTTACTTATATAACTATAAACCCTATGTACATCACCTTGACAATAAAAAACTATCATAAATAATAACAAAGATGAACCTAGTCCATGTTACTATATATGCCAAGTGGAAATAGACATGAAAAGACAAATGCTATATTACTCCACTTTATATTAGGTGTCTAAAATTGCAAAACTCATAGAAGCAGAGAGTAGAATGTGGCTTTCCTAGGACAGGCAGGACAAGATGAAATATGGTAGTAAGTACGGTTTCAATTTTGCAAGATGAGTAAGTTCTCACAATGTGCTTAACAATACAGTATTGTGTACTCCAAATTGTTTTAACAAAAATGTTATGTGTTCATACTCCTCAGACACATAAACACACACACACACACACACACACACACACACACACACACACACACTACAAATGCCTGCAGTCTTCTAGAGCTTCTAATTCACATTTAGGACAATCGTAGACCTACATATACTTTAACATGCTTTGGGGTTGTCTTTTCAGTAGGCAATGTTGGGAAGCATTTGAAAGAGAATGCTGCCATAGATGTGGCCTGGAAATCATCCTGAGGAGCTGTTGTATGAATTGCAACATGAATGAGTAGAAGAGGAGGGGCTTGAGGACACCATGCAGGGGCAATAATACCACTAAAGATCTTGAGTAGAACATGGGGTGAACTGGTATCAGAAACAGAAGCAAGCCAGGACACCTTAGCTTAGATTTAGGCAAAAGTTCAGGGATCAGTATCCTGGCTACGGACTTTTAACTCAGCAAACAGCCATGATTTTTGGAGAATAATGATGATCTGAAAAAACATGTAAAAAGATTGTATAACTATCAAAATGAGATTTGAGGATATGATTCATAATTGTTTGGTCAGATTTATTTATCATGCATTTTCTTAGTCTACATTCCAGATCTTCTGATCTAAGACAAGAAAACACTACTTCTAGAAAATTATCCAGTGATTCCTTCCAGCTGTGAAGTCTCAAGTATACAACCTTGGATTTAAACCTCTGTTAGGGCTGATTCTGCTATATTTAATCACTAAATATACCTCATAATTAGACCTAAAGTAGTATCATTGATAAGTATGCTATATGAATGAAAAAATACTTCACTAGTATTTAAAAATCAGTGTGGTTATTTTTATAACCCAGCAAATATTTTATTTTATAATTGTATTTGCATAAGAAATAAGATTATTAAAACTAACGTACTTGATCCAGCTTTACATAATTCATGTGTTCCTTAATAAATGAATGTTTAAGTTATAGCTTCAACCTATTTTATTGCTATATGACAATTATACTCTGGCTCTTCTAATTTTACCTACATATGGCCATTATAGGAAACTTATCATTATAGAAGATTATTGACAAGAGATCATTGTTGTAAGATACAGAAAGAAAACCATCATGTTTAGACAGTTTTAGTTGGTTATTACTAAATCACTCAATAATTTCTGTGATCTGTGATAGCTGAAGAGAGAAATGTGAGTCAAGACAAAAATCCCATATTTGGAATCTCAGTATTTTCTTCCAATTCTAATATTTAGCTTATGGGCATAGACACTTAAGGTTTTATATAGTAATTTATATAGTAATATTTATATAGCACATTATATAGTACATTTATATAGTAATATTTATTAGTGATTGTAAGTATTCATTTTTGCCTACAATCAAAAGAAATGCTGTGAAATGAAATAACAATCTGTACAATGTTGAAGACACTATAAATTACCATATGTTCATTGAAATATCTTCTGGCTCAGGAAAAGACCAACATATAAAAACATTTTTCATAAATAGGAATAATGGATAGTCATCAGTGTAAATTATAACTAAAACTTTTGAAACTTGAAATTTCCTGAGAATAGCAAAGGTGGGCCTATAAAAATATTTCCATCATAGATATTCATCACCTCAGCAGGTAATATACTAGTGTATAGTAAATGTAACTAGATTAGTTAGATGCCTAATCCATACCAGGCAAAATTCAAATCTTATGCATTTGATCTTCAGTGATTAACTCATAATAAATAAATTGTTGCCACATATAGCTGTATGAAATGCCGTTTTTTCATTGTGACATTTCAATATATACATATAATGTTCTTTGATTATACTCACCCCCTTTGCTGTTTTTTCTTATGTCCCACCAGCAACAAATGATTTCTTATTTTAAAAATTCCTTGTAATTTTTAAAAAATAAATGTCATTATAAGTTTTGTGTGTGTGTTAGTGCTGGGGTTTGAAATCAAGGCCAAAGCTCAGTCATTTAACCTTTTTGCTCAAGGCTGGTGTTCTACTCATAGAATGTCCTGATTGGGCTGACTTTGAACCTACAGGCATGAGCCAAACCATAATAGACTTTCAATAAATGTTTCAACAGTAACTAAAAGATTGGATATGGATCACAACTATAAACTCAGTAACTCAGGAGAACCCGGAGTTGGAGTGAAGCCTCGGGAAAGTTAGCAGAGCCCTATCTCAAAAATCAAAAAAACTGAACGTTTGCTCTAGTTGATTTAGACCATGAAGTTAATGAGATTAAATACATCTTCATTTATTTGAATGTATTTATTACCTTATTACCAAATGCACTGCTGCTTTATTTCTAGCCCAAAACCCACTCTCTGTGCTATTTGCACTATCCAATTTACACACTGGTCACAGGAGGTACTGGGTCAAGAGAATGACTTAGTTTAACATGATCTACCACAATTTTCAACAAATGCTGGTGGTGTTACATTTATATACCAAGACCACGGTAAGTATATAATCATATATACCTACTTTTAGATAGCTAAACATTCACACACACATATATATATATACACCTTATATGCATATTAATATCATATGTCTATGAAATTTAAAGATGCAAACTTCTATTATCACATATATAGTGAATTGCTAATTGCCACGTGAGTTAAAACTTAATATCATAGGCCTGATACACATGATTGAATTTTAGTATGTGTTTTAAAGAGATCCTGCTAAGGAGCAAAATATGTTTAAAAAATAAAGGTTCTATAAAAATTAGGTCCAAATCATTTATTCTACTTTCATCAAGGCTTATGTGCTTCTAAGGGAATACAATAATTTGTGCATTTTCTATTTTTCAATGTACTTTTTTATCTTTAAGCCATTCATTTTTCTAGTTAAATATTATGAGTGAATGTCAATTCCTAAAGGAGCCATACAGAGATGGTAGGTGCAATTGTGTTGTACTCAAAATAAACTCACGGTTAAAGCAAATATTTAACAACTGTCAAATACTCGGTTGCACACAGTGAAAACTAATCCTGTAGAGCTGGGTAAGTTAAAATTTCAATCCAAACCTTCCTTCTGTGCTTTATAATTAGAAAACCAAATGAGGAACTTTTCTGGGCATGTTGTCTAGTTTAAGAAACCCACCTGTTTTCTATTTTTGAAAATATATTTTTCTAGTTCACATGTATAAATGAAGGGTTTAGATGACTTAAGATACTGGGATCCAATTGTAACTAAGCAAATCAAAACAACACAATGAAATCCACCAAAACTGTTAAAAAGAAAAAGGACAGGAATGTGATTAAGAAGAAATAATACAGAAGGAATAAATTTGATCAAAGTATACTATATGCATGTTGTAAATATCACAATAAAGCTCCTTTTACAATTAATTTAGGCTAATACAACATTGAAAACGAATAACCTCTCATATTTAAATATAACTTTGCATTTGCAATATGCCACAATTTGCTAAATAATAAATTTAGGAAGCCTTACTTAAAGAAAAATATACTGGAAAGAAATGGGCTCAGGGTATACCAAGGCCTCACCTGGGGAATGACCAACGTCTCTGTGGTCACCCAGCAAGCCTTCCGTCCAACCATACTATATGCTTTCTTCCCTTCTCCCTCTCTGTGACTCTATCTTTAACCTTGTGAATATTCAGACCTAAACTGAAATATTAAACTCTAGCATTCAACTTTCCATCCCACTCCAGAAGCCCTACAATATCTGTCTTGAGCCTTTTAGGGACATCGAGTTTCACCTTGAGTTTCATCTCCTACCCTAACACTAACTTCTTTTGGTGAAAATGCACACACTGCTCTACACCTTGAGAGATATTTCATGCAAATCTTCAGACTGTTGGCCACTTAAGTGCATGATATTTAAGCTCAACAAGTCACAGAGTCTTAGAAATCCTAAAATTCTTAAAAATGTTTTTTATTGTTAAAATGTTAACCCCCATCACTCATTCTCATTACCATCAAGGGTCCTCACTTCCAGCTTCACAAAGAGGAAGAAATCAAAAGAAGAGTAGTATCATTCTCCCATTCAAATTGCATACTGTCTTCCCATGAGTAGGGAGAAGGAGCTCTTCTGTCTAAGACTAACTTCTCTCTTTGAGATCCTTTATCTCCTCTCTTCTTTGAGGACCATGTAACAATTGTTAGCCTCCTTTAGTACTGTATCCTCTGTTCCTTTCAGCTATTATCAAACAAACAACATAATGATCTAGTCTTTCCAGTATAAAAAGAAAAAGTACATGAAACATCTGTAGATGTTTATTTGTAAAGGCTATCTCTTTGCTGTATACTGTAGATTTCTAAAAAAAAAAAAATGGGTCTAGTCACTACTTCCTTGTCTTTTCCAATTTATCAATTGATAGCTATCATCTAGTTTGTACTTTTGGGGGAACATCCAGGCAAAACTAAGAAGGTAAGGTTTAGCTGTAGACAGGTGACTAGCGACATGACATTAAAGGTCATACCAAGTCACTGGTTCTTCTCTCTGTCTCTGTCTATGCCACTGTCTCTGTCTCTGTCTCTCTCTGTCTCTGTCTCTCTCTGTCTCTGTCTCTCTCTGTCTCTGTCTCTGTCTGTCTCTCTCTCTCTCTCTGATTGTTTTCTGCCATGAGTTGAAAAATCTCTTAATCCTGTTACCTTGATGCTCTCACCAAGCACATGGAAGGAAACAACCTGAGACTGAACTCTAAAACGTTCAGCCAAAATGAATATCTCCTCCTTTAAAGTAAAATATAGCTAACAAATAAACAAACAAAAAGCAGGATCTGGATTTAGATACTAATGGTATCATAAAAGGAGAAGTAAAGAAAATGACTACGATTTTGATCCTTAGTAACTAAGGAAAGCAGTCATCTATCAGAATAGGGAAGTGAGAAGAGGAATATATTTGAAGGAGACATTATAAAGAAAATTAGAGACTAAAATGTAGAAATGTTCCACAACTGAAATGTCTCCATTAATTTTCAAGGGAGAACAACTTTTTGTGTCCTCAGTCTCCAAACATGTGTTCCAGCATCAAGAGAATTACTCTAAGATCTGAGTTATTCTTGCCACCTGCTTCCTAAGTTCTAATTCCTAGAAAAAAAACTATTATTAATAATGGGGAAAAGGTAGAAAAGTCTAAACTATTTCATGTGTGTACATGCATCCCCAATCTGATGAAAGGCATAGTTGAAGAGTAAGCAAAAGTAATGAAAAGTTTGCTTATTTGGCTATAGTTCCCCACCTAGCTGAAACGTATTCCCAGGGACAGCACTAGTTCTTGGCACACTGCCTTAGTTGATCCTTGTTAATGAGAGATTAAAACACACAGAGAAGCATATTTAAGTGTTGGTGGTTTATATCCATGTACATAATACATTAGACATAGCATTTTGGTAAAGGATCCCTACTGGTTCCCTCTGCATGATGAAAAATCAATTATTACCTGGCTAAGAACATCTAATTTATGTAAGAGTCTTTAGGATATTTTAGAAACAAATAAAAACACATAAATAAGAACATTGGTTTCTTGCCTCCTCTTTATAGTCATTCACAAATTTTTGTTTTTAGTAATATTTTTATTATCTCAGGTAGTTGTACAAAGGGTTTGCCATTGAACAAATCAGTTTATAAATACATTACATCTTGATTGATATCGCTCTGTTTGTCATTTTCCCCATCTTTCACAACTCAATCTTTTCTCTCCATTTTTTGGAGTTTCCTATGGTATTACCACCACCTTTTTCTCTCCATTTTTCCATTCCCTTTCCCTTCACTCTTCTTACCCTGATTTAAGTGTCAGTTCCCCAGTATTTGTTGAATTGTGAATTCATTTTTCTAAGGAATTATACCATTCAAATTCTCCCCTGAAAATTTCATATTTTGGTCAATATTGCGTATACTTGCATCCAACCCTGTATTTGTTTACTTGCATGCCTATAACTTATATCTCACTTCTACATATGAGAAAAGTCATGTATCCTTTTGTCTCTCTGTGCCAGACAATTCTATTGATATCATTTTTTCCAGGTCCAACTATTTCTTTGCAAATGATGTAATATCATTCTTTCGAATACAATTTCTATACAACAAAAGGCATAATTAGAAAACTAAAAAGACAGCCTACAGAATGGGAGATTTTTTTGCCAACTATACATCAGACAGAGGCCTAATATTTAAAATATTCAATGGCCTAATATACAGAATATACAACCGATGGTGATGCAGATGTGGGGGAAAGAAGCCCCTGTGAATTGTTGGTGGGAATATAAACTTGTTCAATCATTCTTGAAAGCATTTTGGAGATTTTTCAAAAATGTAAACATACAGCAATACTACTCTTGGTATTTGAAGGGACATTATCAGGTTCTTCCAAGATCCTTCATCATTAGATAGTTTTCCTGGTTCTTGTCAACTTTTCCATCTGGTTACCTGCCAGTATTTTTCAGCCCTACCATACTGAGCAAGTCATTGTCAGACATTCTGCCTCCTTAATCCTCCACCAACCTTCTTCAACCATACTTAAGACCTTCAACAACACTCAAGGAAACCCTACCAGCTCTCATGTATCATCCCCAGTCTTGTTCAAGTCATGCAGTTGCTTTCAAGAAAAGCACTCTCCACTGTCACCCTGGTTCACTTCAGTTACCCGGAGCATGAGACTCTTGACCACAGCCCATGTCCCAAGATCAGGTGATACACAGGAAACTCAACATAGCTTCCGCAATTGCAGCCCCTCCTACTTGATTTGAGGTAAAAAAGTAAAATCCACATAAAATCACCAATGACTTGTTTCTTCTAGAGAATTTTCCTACAAATGCTTTGCCCTCTCTTGAATTTCTTTGTAAGGCAAATCCATGCATCTAACAGTAGCAAAAACTTCTGCCTACATCAGTCCAGCTGAAGGCCTAGCACCCCATTTTGGAGGAAGTACTTGTCACCTCTATCTTGACCTCAGCTGCAAATCAAACAGGAAGAGCCTTGTTTAACAACTTGTTACAGCAACATGGAGATATGCTTTAGGCGCCTACCAAACTCATAAAATTAACATTATACTGTGAGACAAATTGGGATCAGTAATGGCTAGAGAAGGTTAGGGAAGGAAACTGGCCAATGAGATGATAGATAAGCACAAGGCTAAATACATGAGACATGAGGGATGTAAGTACCTCTTCTAAGCAGATCCTCAGTTCTTGTTTACATAGAGACTTTACTTTCAAATCTGTATTGGATTACAAAGGGGGATTGAAGGGGGACTTGAAGGAGAATTAAATATAAGCTATGTGATTGCATTTCAAGATACTTATATGTGTGTTTGTTAGAGAACAAATGAGAAATGTTTATTCCCACTAAAATAAATATTAAATATGTTCCACAAAGTATCCAAATATTGAAAAATAAAAATATTTCACTTTCACTCTTGGTTCCTTTTTGTGGGTAGGAATGTTTCTTTATATACAAGACAGACATAATCCGAGAAGTGACCTGAGTTCTTAAAACCCCCACTCTTCCTAAACCCATAACCTCAGAATAACTCATCACTCTTTGGAAAGTTTTTGGATTATACAGCACAGGCACGTGCACAGAATTAATCATTACTGAAGGTCCCATTCTAGTGGGTTGAACTGTGTTTCTCCGCAATGTATGTTGAAGTCCTGTCCCCTGCTCTCTGGGAATGTAAGCTTATTTCAGATGAAGGGTTTTTTCAGATGCACTCAAGTTAAAACAAGGCCATAGACACACAACAAGGATGCCATCTGATGACAGAAGCAGAAACTATGAAGTGGCACACCTGCAAGACAAGGACACCAAGGAAGGACAGCTGCTACCAGAAGTAGGGAAGAAGTAAAGACCAATTTTATCCAGGGCCAAAGTAGTGCATGGTCCTGCTTATACCTTGTTTACAGCTTTCTAGCTTCTCCTGTGAATGAATACATTTCAGTTATTTTGTGACATCCTATTGGGAGTATGGCATCCTATTTGGAATATTTTGTTAAGGCAGCCTAAGAAGCTAATACACACAGAAAAAAATCAGTTGCAAATGCAGAGACCAGTAAAGTAAGAGATTGATTTGAGAGTTGCTTGGATTGATGATTTTTTCTTGAATGGTGGCATTTCCAGTTTTGGTGCTGAAATGTAGACTAGCATTGAAACAGTTGTCTCCGTTCAGCAACTAATCTGGTCCTTTCAACTTGAATATCAAGCTAAATAAGACTTTAAACTGCTCTTCAGTGGTCATATAAAGAGACAACACAATTTCTCAGACTAAAGATTAATTTAAAATTTTCATTGTTTAAAATAATTTCTTCTGGTATAGGAAAACTCTTGTTCACCCTGATCAAATTTTGATGCAACATGAAAATAATTCAGTGAACTGTGAACTGAAAAAAAAAATCAGTGGTGATAACTCACTGGACCCTAGTTAGAAAGGAACTATATAATGTGGGGGTCTGGGAGGGAAAAAACTGTGAGAAAATGAGGGAGAAGGTGACACTGTTCAAAAAGAAATGCATGCAATACTGACTTATGTTACTGTAACCCCTCTGCATATTACCTTTACAATAAACATTTTAAAATTAAAAATAAAATAACTGTCTCCATTCTTTAAAACT